CTGAAAGCCCTATGAAGCGGTATATAAGTCTAACTGATATTGCTATTGCTAAAACAATGAATTTTATTTTCTTTCCATTTTAAAGAACAAATATTATATTCCATTAGTGATTAACCAATTCAATATAGATAGAATACTGGAAATAGATTTAAATGCATCATCAGTTTAATGTCCTTGCATTGCCACAAGAGATCCAAGTCCCGTTTCCGTTGAATTCCGTTGACCCTTATCTAGTGCCAATTTAGTGCTGCCCAAAAGTTGACTAGATTCTTGTATATAAGCTTGAATAAATTTTCTATCATACAACCTTATGAATGGTCTGATTCTTTGCAACTGACAAAATGCAAGATTAAGTAGCTGATTCCAGTGGAAGATAGTAGTTCTACAGGTTAAACAGAGCAACAGGATAAATAGATATTCCTATTAGTTTATATAATGGAAAGTATTGTTGACATCAATTCTAAAAATTGATTCTACACACCTTAGATTCTACACATCTTAGATTACATTTTATGCAACAAAAATATTTCAGATCTATTGAATTTCATTGCATTCTTGAAGAAATTTCATCATGGTGAAGATGCCCTCAGATTGTTTTATTTAAATGTTTGTTCAGTGTTTTAATAAAAGTCCATCTTAGAAACAGTAATATATTATTCAATTTTGATACAAGTTCTTTTTAACTGTAATCTTTACTGAAATTGACATTTAGACAAAGAAACTAGACCATTCCATGCTGACAATTTTGACTATTTTTCCAACATTACAAAATAAATATATGGCCCCAACTATATAATGGGCTGCAGAAATGATGTAACTTATAAATACATTATCTACTAGCATAGATTACACATGAATAATTGTACTGAAATGCTAATGTACTTTTATTTACTGCATGTATATGTCAGTGTACATTCTGTATGTTTTAAACATTTTTTTATAACGGTGTGTATTCATTTTTTAAAAATTAATAAAACCTTCTAAAAGTTCTTATAAAGCTGTATTACTAGGTATTGCTGTGGCCACAGGTTATTGGTCATCTGAATAATCAATTTACCGCTGATTTAAATGTGTGCCTCAGATTTATGCTATAGGATTTTAATGAGGTAAAATAGTTTCTGGTATCATACCTTTATATGCCAAAATTAGAAAATGCTAAACTATCTTAGATGGTAGGGATTGGGTTATCTATGGCCATGGATCACAAAAAACCACCTGGTTTTCAGAAGAACTCCAGAATACCACTGGAGAAAGTGAAGAGTAAAGTCAAATGAACATAGGCAACAGCCTTTATTAATACCTAATAAAGAGAGTAAATTGTTATTTCTTTGCCATTAAAGTTTGTTTTGCAGAATACCAACTAATGTCCTAATATGGTAACCAGTTATCTTCTGGGTAAGGAATAGTTATTTGGGGATTTTTGCAGCACTGATGTAAGGGCTATTCTAGACAAGTGCTGGATAAATTGGCTTGAATTTGTTGGAGTGAGATGTGTTATTTATGTTAGGCATCATAGGTTATCAGTAGTAGTTGCTATTTTAATCCCTGTATGTTACTCAGTCATTGTTGTGAGATGGGTGGTCATAAAAATCATTTTAATAAGCAGGAAGGGATAAAGAATATTAAGTTCAGAGTGGGATATGCTAAAAAGTAAAAATGTAAATATAAATTACTCAAGACACTAATTATTATACTTTAATTCAGGTGATTTGTAACAAATACCACATTCCAGTTTTATTTGAAAATGGCTCTTGATTTCATATCAAAGGTTTTGCTTTGTATTCATACAGTATACATACAGTCAACAAAAAATTCATATCAATGTCTCTTCATTAAATTTTAGACAGTTCATAAGTCATTGTGGAACTTTCTGAGAAGCAACTGCTTCAAACCCTCAATTATACTGAAAATATTTCATCTAATTTATACAATTATAAATCTGTAAAGTACAAAATAATGCAGGGGTCCTCAACCCCTGGTCTGTCGCCTGACACTTTGTGAACTGGAGCATCCAAGTGGTAGGTGAGTGCATGAAGTTGCATTTATGCAAGCAGTGCGTGCACAAAACCATCCTCTCTCCTCCCCCACCCCGTTGCCACTGAGCCGGAAAGTTTGGGGACTGCTGGAATAATGTTAAGAGTTTCATTTTCATCAAGTTTACTATGAAAATGAGACAATTAAATATTTATAGAAAAGTATCTATTTATAAGCATGTGTTTGTATAACATATGTATAACACGTGTCAATCACACTATATGTATACGCAAGTTTACAAATATCGATTTTTCTGAATTGAATGGGGGTCATCCATATACTACAAAACACAAATAGCATACTCATGACTATTTACTGCTATCTTTTTTGAAGTCCACAATTTCCCTGATTTCAAAAAAGTTCTTCAAAAAGTAAAAGTACCCCTAATAAAGGGAAGAATATTTCTTCTTCCAATGTTGTTTTATAATACAACCTTTTCCATCAGTCGCTTCATCTGAATTAGCTCGATTTTCCCTCTTCTAAGAATGCATTTTTACGCTGCCCCAAATATTTTCTAGCAGCTTTACTCCCATTTTCAAATTAAGCTTAAATATTGTATATGAAATGGCACATAATGTCTCAGTGTTGAGACAAAAATCTTCAAACACATCTTATAAATTAACATAGGAAATATAAAGTGATTTACTTATGTTCCTCAATGTAATATATAAAAATGGTTAATTTTTATATTGCAACCCATATAATAGAACAGTATCAAAATATTTATTTATTATTTTTGAAAACATGTTTGAAATTATCTTACAAATAAAATATGATTGGGTCAGCTGAAATAGGCTCGAAGAATACAAACTTAAACAACCATAATTCTTCATGAACTAACTCACATAATCACTCACTGTGGTATGTAGTTTCCTTCCATGCCATATTTATTGGGGGAGGGGGGATCAGTTGATGCATCAATTAGATGCCAGTACCAGTTTACATATTTGAGATACAGTATGCTTGCTGTCCAAGCATGGTGTGTGTGTGTGTGTGTGTGTGTGTGTGTGTG